TGAGATCTCGACATAGAGTTTGTTCAGGCGGCTGCGAGACTGCTTGTCTATAAGCGAGAGACCCGTTTAGACAATTAGGGACGTGTATAAGCGCCATGGAAAGTATTGAATAAAAAAACTTTGACTTTGAACACAGTTCTACCGATCAAACGTAACTACTAATTTTGTTTGTCACCTGTCATCCGCTTTGCAATGGAGGGAAGTCGAACCTTAATTTCGAGCTCCTATGTTCTTATTAATTTCGTTGCGGGTCCAATGACAGTTTAACTTTCCGCCGGGACGAACTTGGCCTTCACTGGTTGGGTTTTTATTGGCGGTCAAGCTGTAGATCCTGGCTACACAGGAGGTGCAGCGGTGGGAACGAGAGGTGGGAATAATCTGTTTTGCTCAAGGTCAGCTGGTAGAGAATGACTTATGGCATTAAGCTCGCCTTTTTGTACGGAACATTCATGAACATGTGTGTGTATAAATAAATAAATAAATAAACAGACCCGTACTAATGTGTATGTATGTGTAGTTGGAGGCAGAGCAGACGGCAGCGAGTTTGGGGGCGGCGGAGCACGACGCATTATTGCTGCATGGAGACATGGAGCAGGCGGACCGCAACCAGGTCATCACGGCCTTCCGCCGCCGCGACAACGATATACTTGTCGCCACCGACGTAGCCGGTGCGTATGACTTGTTCTACTTTTATTTATTTATTTATTTATTTAAGACGTACAAAACAGGTTACAGCCAAAATATGATTTACAAAGTTTAATACAGTACGATTTTATGGACTAGGTTGTTACCCTTAGTATGTACGAGGGGCGGCTGAAAAGTTTTGAGCCTAGGGTATAAAAAATGCCGATAGAAAAGTATAATAAATATATTTTACTATTTAATCTCCCTCTACTACAATGGACTTCTTACATTTGTGTAAAAGAGCTTTTAACCCACTGAAAAAAAATTCGCAATCTTTGCCTTCGAAATGAGCCTTTAACGCCGCCTTCATTTCTTGGCACTCAAAAATCTTCGTTCCTGGGAGTCTTTTTTCGAATTTGAGAATTAGACAAACTAGCTAGTGATTCGGACTAAACTGTGTGGTGGGTGATTAAATTCTTCAAATCCAGTTTTACCCGGGGCAAGCCATGCAAAATGCGCTGTGTGCGCGGGCGAATTGTCTTGCAATAACAGATTTCCTTTCGCCAGTTTGCCTCTTAATATTTCAACAACCACTTGGCGCACTTTTATCAACAGTACAGCATAATAATCCCCGTTTATTGTAGTTTTTTTTAAGTAGGTAGTCAATGAATAAAATTCCTCCACAATCCCAAAAAAAGTGGCTATGAGCTTGGGTGTCGATCGCTCCACTTTGAATTTCCGCGGCGGCGTTTTCCCTTTTGAATCCATTGCATTGACTCTCATTTTGACTCTAGATCGTACTGCCGGATCTATTATTTATCAATAGTGACAATGTGAGAAATAAAATTGTTAGGATTATGGCCAAAGATGTCCTAAAACTCCTGCGAAGTTGTGACTCGACGCTGGTTGTCGAACGGCGTGAACATTTTTGGCACCCATTACACGCACCCCTTTTCATGTGCAAATGAGCATGAAAAATATCGCCAATACGTTCCTTGCTAATGCCTATGGCTTCAACTATATGTCACAGCTTAATTCGCTGATCTCTAAAGCAAGATTCTTTAAATTTTCATTATTTTATTCGTTAATGGCGAAATCTGGCCGCCCTGACTTGCGGTCATCTTTTAGCGACTCCCTGCCATGCTTGAATTATCGGATCCAATCTTTCATGGTGGCAAATGAAGGCCCAGACTCCCCATAAACTGTAGACATCTCTTCAAATGTTACCGTCAGCGTTTTGTTCCTCTTTTTGAGGTATTTTATGACAACTGTGTACTTTAATTTCGTACATTGCGCGGATGACTGAGACATGATGATGTTTACGGATTAATTACTAAAAGCGTGATGACGCTAATGAAATGAAACTTTGTACATATACTAAGGAGGTTATTGGCAAATTAATAAAATTTAGCGCGAGTCAATAATAACACTTGAAGATACTTAGGCTCAAAACTTTTCAGCCGCCCCTCGTACATACTACATCAAAAAACTAAACAGCACGTTATTGCAAAGTTCAAAACATATCTACTGCGTAATTAATGACATGAGTTTTGTCACCCTTTTTTGTGCGACTGGAATATGCACCCTATGGCCTGGGGGAACCAATGGGTTATGTGGGACTCTCTCTGTTAGGAGAACAGAGCCTTCCCACTAAAAACCAATCGGGTCCCTCTGGTCTCGCTTAGTGGGGCACGATGCGAGTCAAAAAAACCCACGCTACGGCCACAGCCTCTCCCTCAAATTGTGCGAAAGCTGTCTTCAACTTCAACCAGGTCATCACGGCCATTCGTTTTTCTGATGTATTTAGACACCCTTTTACAGCACAAACCGTTTTTAATTATTAAAATTCGTCGGATGTGTTTACCAATTTTTCACTTTGACAGTTCATGTGACGTTTACGGGTGAGCCGTGCCGGCTCCCTAAAAACTGCCTCACCTTTCGTGCACTGACTATCTATCTAGGTTTTATTAATATAAGGTTTCAGGCAAATGACGTCCACTGCTGGACAAAGGCCTCCTTCAAGGGTTTCCACAACGACCGGTCCTGTGCCGCCTGCATCCAGGCACCTCCCGCGACCGTCACCAGATCGTCGGTCCACCTAGTGGGGGGCTTGCCCACACTACGTCTTCCGGCTCTGCTGCCTTCGCTTTTTAGTTGAGTCGTCCACGTGAAGGCCTCTGTCATGGATTTTCAATTAGAGTTTCCTTGATTGCGCTCACCAGTCGCGAGTCCATACTAGAAAGGACTATTCCTGTCACTTGCTTGTGGTTAAAACAGTGGCGCCAACTGGTGAGCGCTGAAGAAGTAGGAGGTAGGCATCACATATTTCTCAATCATCAGTTGGCGTCACGGGCGAGTCATAGAACCTTACTCGACAGGGGCGGCAACCTGGTTTAATTAAGGAATGTTAACTCTTGTCCAAATACATACGTCCCGTGGCCTAATTCACGTATTTTAAAACAATCAAAATGTCGTTGACCTTTAGAAGTCGTCTTGAAAAACAGTCCTAAATCCGTATTCACGTGTCACTTTCATAGAACGATTACAATCGGGCATTTCATTTGTGTGAGAAGAACCTAATTACATTTTTGAATTTCGAATTTCTCTAGCGCGCGGTCTGGACATCCCACACATCCGCACCGTCATCAACTACACGGTAGCACGTGACATCGATACTCACACGCATCGCGTGGGCCGCGTGGGCCGCGCCGGCGTGCGCGGCGACGCCTACACGCTGCTCGACCGCCACCGCGACCGCGACTTCGCTGGGCACTTGCTGAGGAATTTGGAGGGCGCACAGCAGGTATGTAACCTACACATAGTGACTGTAGCAAGAGACAGGGGAGCCATAGTGGCCGCCCACACACTGTTAGTGCCACAGTAACCTCGACATCGATACACATATCACTGCGTGGGCCGCGTAGGTCGTGCCAGGGTACGTAGCAAGAGACAGGGGAGCCACAGTGGCTGTAGCAAGAGACAGGGGAGCCACAGTGGCCGCCCACTCACTGCTAGAGTACCTACCACAGTAACTTCGACATCGATACACTCACACGCACCGCGTGGGCCGCGTGGGTCGCGCCGGCGTCCGTATGTAGCCACAGTGGCCACAACAAGAGGCTGGGAAGCCACAGTGGCCGCCCACACACTGCTAGAGTGCCACAGTAACCGCGACATCGACACGCACACGCAACGCGTGGGCCGCGCTGGCGTGCTCGGCGACGTCTACACGCTGCTCGACCGCCATCGCCACCGCGACTTCGCCGGACACTTGCTGTTGGAGGGCGCGCAGCAGGTAAACCATAGTAGCTACGGTGACTGTAGAAAGAGACAGGGGAGACAGTGGCCGCCGACACACTGCTAGAGTACCTACCACAGTAACTTCGACATCGATACTCACACGCACCGAGTGAGCCGCGTGGGACCGCCACCGCGACCGCGACTTCGCTGGACATTTGCTGCGGAATCTAGAGGGCGCACAGCAGGTAAATAGCTACAGTGGCCGCCCACACACTGCTAGAATACCTACCACAGTATCTTCGAGATCGATACACATACAATACACTGCGTGGGCCGCGTGGGTCGCGCCGGCGTGCGTAGTAAGATACAGGAGAGCCACAGTGGCTGTAGCAAGAGACAGGGGAGCCAAAGTGGCCGCCCACACACTGCTAGAGTGCCACAGTAACCTTGACATCGATACTCACACCGCGTGGGCCGCGCCGGCGTGCGGGGCGACGCCTACACGCTGCTCGACCGCCACCGCGACCGCGACTTTGCTGGTCATTTGTTGAGGAACTTGGAGGGCGCGCAGCAGGTAAACTATAGTAGCTACGGTGACTGTAGCAATAGACAGGAGTCACAGTGGCCGCCCACAACACACTGCTAGAATACCTGCGTGGGCCGCGTGGGTCGCGCCGGCGTCGGTTGTTGATACTTAAGTTGATACTCAATATCGTTCTAAAAAGTTCGGTTAATAAGATCCATTTTCATTTTTTTAGGCCATGTTTTAAACCATTCTTCAATGTCTTCTAGGAGGTGCCAGAGGAACTTCTAAACCTGGCGATGCAGTCAGCATGGTTCCGCAAGTCGCGTTTCAAGAAGGGCAAGGGCAAGAACCTCAACGTCGGCGGCTGCGGCCTAGGGTGAGTTGGGTTATGATGACGTCATCTGTTATGTCAGTGAAGGTATCATGACAATTCAACCCACGAGAGAACTCGACCAGGACCGCTCAATCCCATCAACGTGAGCTCATGACTACTCGACTCCACCTTACGATTACTATACCTCTGACAAATCAACCCCCAACTAAAAACGTCAGGGCATTCCCCCCGAAAAACCCCGACTGCTCGACTTCCGACAACTAGACCTCTGACAACTCGAGTCCCGATAACTAGACCCCGATTGCTCAACGATGAAAACTCAATACCATCTATTTACTCTGTCAATAAATACAATGTCTGGTATTACCTTCAAGCCGGCCGTTTGGTCTTATGTCGGCCGTTTGGTGTAGTGGTTCGAAACGGACTACTATTCTGGAGGTTGCGGGTTCGATTCCCGCACAATACAAACATTTGTGTGAACATATTTGTTTGTATTGGACTGGGTGTTTTCTATGTATAAAATGTATGTATTTACAAAAAAAAAAAGTATTTAAGTATGTATATATCCGTAGTCTAGTACCCATAGTACAAGCTTTGCTTAGTTTGGGACTAGAAGCGCAGTGTAAAATGTCCAAGGATATTTATTATTATTAATTAAGCTGAAGGCTGTATTACCTTCAAGCTGAAGGCAGTAACGCAGGCAGACTGATATGACCAAACTTATAACACTTTGTAGGTACAAAGAGCGGCCAGGCCTGCCGCAGCACAACGACGACGCGCCCAGCGCGCCCGCCGGGGGGCCCGCCGAGCGGCCTGCCGGGGGGCCCGCCACCGACCGCCTGGCCTCGCTCAAGCAGGCCTTCCGCTCGCAGTATAACCAGGTAAGAGAACTAGACCACCAGGTAACGAACGAACGGTGTTGTACACATTAACGCCCGTTCGTTCGTACGTTTCAGCCGAAAGACGTCTTATGCTGGACAAAGGCCTCCCCCAAGGATTTCCACAAAGACCGGTCCTGCACCGCTCGCATCCAGGCACCTCCTGCGACCCTCACCAGATCGTCGGTCCATCTAGTGCAGCGGTTCCCAAACTTGTTTTGTCTACTGCCCACTTTGAGAATATTTTTTTTTAGCGCCCCCATTTGTAGTCGAGAGTCGAGTGCTCAGTCGGTGCCTAAGAGACCACCTAGTAAATGACACCTCCCAAGCCTCTACACAACGTCCCGATTTTTTTTCTGGGTCTCTTACCGCCCCCCTTTAAGCCTGCAGCGCCCACAAGGGGGCGTTATCGCCCACTTTGGGAAAGACTGATCTAGTGGGAGGCCAGCCCACGCTACGTCTTCCGGCTCGTCGTCGCCACTCAAGAACTTTCCTGCCCGAGCGGCAACGCCCGTATTCACAAACATTACTATGAGGTCTCAGAGTGCACAGAGGGTGACACACGAACAAATCACAGAGCTCTATTCAACGCTGTGCGTTCGATTTGCTGCTTCACTTAAGCAAGCATCGTTTGTGAATACGGGTGAGAGTGATGACGCGGGGAGGGGTTCTGCGTTATTATGACAGATACGACGCAGAATGTCGAAGGTGACAGCTGTCAGTTCAACTGACATACCATTCACAACATAATAACGTGAAACGTAAATGAATATGTAATGTTATTGTGGAAATAAAATACTGCGGCAAATTAAAAAAAAATCAATTGGGCCACGGCTTATACTGAGTGGGGTTCCGGTGCAGTGTGAATCCTGATTGTGACTAAAGCACGGTCTCTGAGCACGTAGAATTTTGCCCAATGACCCCAAGCTACCCATCCTTATCGCTCGCGCGTAATTATGTTGCTGTTGCGCTCCCACACTCACTGCGGCAGCCCGTCGCACAGTCGCGACAGCAATATAGAATAGAATAGAAAGTATTTATTTGTCTCAAAACAGGTTTCATATAATTACGCGCGAGCGATAAGGATGGGTAGCTTGAGGTCATTGGTCAAAATTGTACGTGCTCGGCGACCACACTGTAGTTGGTACTAGTGTTCCCGGGGCCTATAGGCTTATAGGCCTAAAATTAAGCCTATTTAGTTCTTTTTTTGGCCATGATAGACTACTAGGCTTTTAAAAGGCTACTCATTATAAAAAGCCTATAGGTTTTAAAAAAACCTGTAGGCTTTATTTCCGACTAAAGTCTTATTCGAGTAGTAGGCTTATTATAAGGCTATAGCCATTATTCAGGCTATGGCTTCGTATGAATAAAACAAGTATTTTTGTATTGCATTCATTTTCTAATTAAATAAAAACTTTATAGTTACATTGTTTCCAAAATATATAATTTCTTTTTTGATATTTTTTTTTATAAAATTTAACTTACCAGCTTGAATTTGAAAAACGATATACGTGCCTATAAAATTTGAGGGTTGCCCTCGATTTCCCTAGGATCCCATCATCAGATCCTGACTTGGTGACAATGGGACCACCTCAGAAGTGTACCCTATCGAACAAAAAAATGATTTTGAAAATTGGTCCACAAAATTGACGGAGTAATCGGTGAACATACATAGAAAAAAAATACATACAGTCGAATATAACCTCTTCCTTTTTTGAAGTCGGTTAAAAATGAATAAAATAGACCTAGCCTAAAGGACTTAAAACCTTTATAGGCTTTTTAGCCTTTCAAGTCTTTTAAATATGCGCCTAGCCTACAAAAAGGCTAAAAGCCTATAGTAATCGGGTGGACAAAAAAAGGGCTATGAAAAAGGCCTTGCCTAAAGGCCTAAAAGACTTTTTAGGCTTTTTTCCCGCTGTAGCCCCTAATTCATAGGCTAGCCTTAAAAAAAAGCCTAAAAGCCTATAGGCCTCGGGAACACTAGCTGGTACTGCTTAGTTCACTCTTGTTTTTGTTTTTCTTTATTATTATTATGTGCCACTGTTATGTAATTGCCTGTATTTGCGTGATGTCCATAATAAATGTATTTCTTTCTTTATATATCGTATCGTCTCCAGTTCACGGCGTCGTCCGACCACTCGTGGGAGCAGACGCTGCAGTCGATCCAGCCCGGGGTCAACGCCCCCGCCGCGCCCGACGACCGCGCCGAGCGCGTGCGCAAGAGTGGCAAGCGCAGCCGCTGGGAATAGTTATAGCATAACAAGTCACGATGTTTTGTTTTGGACTTTAATTACTAGGCAATAAAGTTGAAAATTGTGTGTTAATTATGCANGTTGTTACCTTGAGCGAGCGCGTGCGCAAGAGCGGCAAGCGCAGCCGCTGGGAATAGTTATAGCACACCAAGTCACGATGTTTTGTTTTGGACTTTAATTACTAGGCAATAAAGTTGAAAATTGTGTGTTAATTATGCGCAAGAGTGGCAAGTGCAGCCGCTGAAAATAGCCGCACAGTAGGCAGGGACTTTATCATTAGGCAATAAAGTTTAAAATTGCTTATTTGACCCGTCGCTAGATTCAGTTGTTTCTTGAGCGCGTGCGCAAGAGCGGCAAGCGCAGCCGCTGGGAATAGATATAGCACACCAAGTCGCAATGTTTTGTTTTGGACTTTATTATAAGGCAATAACGTTGAAAATTGTGTGTTAACCCGTCACGTCTTCCTGAGCTAGCGAGTCCGCAAGAGTGGCAAGCGCAGCCGCTGGGAATAGTTATAACATAACAAGTCGCAATGTTTCATTGATTTTGAACTTTAATTACTAGGCAATAAAGTTGAAAATTGTGTGTTAACCCGACGCGTGATTCAGTTGTCACCCTAAGCGTGTGAGACCACAAGAGCGGCAAGCGCAGCCGCTGGGAATAGTTATAGCATACCAAGTCGCAATGTTTCATTGACTTTGAACTTTAATTACTAGGCAATAAAGTTGAAAATTGTGTGTCAACCCGCCGCGCGATTCAGTTGTCACCCTAAGCGTGTGAGACCACAAGAGCGGCAAGCGCAGCCGCTGGGAATAGATAAAGCATACCAAGTCGCAATGTTTCATTGATTTTGAACTTTAATTACTAGGCAATAAAGTTGAAAATTGTGTGTTAACCCGTCGTGACATTCAGTTGTTACCTTGAGCGAGCGCGTGCGCAAGAGCGGCAAGCGCAGCCGCTGGGAATAGTTATAGCACACCAAGTCACGATGTTTTGTTTTGGACTTTAATTACTAGGCAATAAAGTTGAAAATTGTGTGTTAATTATGCGCAAGAGTGGCAAGTGCAGCCGCTGAAAATAGCCGCACAGTAGGCAGGGACTTTATCATTAGGCAATAAAGTTTAAAATTGCTTATTTGACCCGTCGCTAGATTCAGTTGTTTCTTGAGCGCGTGCGCAAGAGCGGCAAGCGCAGCCGCTGGGAATAGATATAGCACACCAAGTCGCAATGTTTTGTTTTGGACTTTATTATAAGGCAATAACGTTGAAAATTGTGTGTTAACCCGTCACGTCTTCCTGAGCTAGCGAGTCCGCAAGAGTGGCAAGCGCAGCCGCTGGGAATAGTTATAACATAACAAGTCGCAATGTTTCATTGATTTTGAACTTTAATTACTAGGCAATAAAGTTGAAAATTGTGTGTTAACCCGACGCGTGATTCAGTTGTCACCCTAAGCGTGTGAGACCACAAGAGCGGCAAGCGCAGCCGCTGGGAATAGCCACATTTAGGCATGCTACGTAACATTTGTCATTATTTTGGACCTTATTATTAGGCAATAAAGTTGAAAATTGTGTGTTAACCCGTCGCGTCATTCATGCGCAAGAGTGGCAAGCGCAGCCGCTGGGAATAGCCGCGCTAAAGGCATGCTACGTCACAATTTGTCATTATTTTGGACCTTATCATTAGGCAATAAAGTTGAAAATTGTGTGTTTAACCCGTCACGTGATTCAGTTGTCACTCTAAGCTTGTGAGACCACAAGAGCGGCAAGCGCAGCCGCTGGGAATAGCCACATTTAGGCATGCTACGTAACATTTGTCATTATTTTGGACCAGTGTTGGCACTAATCAATTAATTTTTTAATCAATTAATTAATTTGATTAATTTTAATCATGATTAAATTAATCCTGATTAAAATAATCATGATTAAAAAAGTAATCATAATCATGATTAATTTGTTAATCATTAATCAATAATCATTAGTGATGGGCCGACTATGGTCTTTGCCGACTAACCGACTAGCCGACTAATCGGTTTTCAAATTGCCGATTAGTCGGCCGACTAATCGGCAATGCCGATCATTCTAATACCTACTTGTCCGAAGAATAATATCTAGATTTCTCAAAGAAATAAGATTGAATATCTAGAATTGAATATATGTATATCTCATAATATGTATATATTATTATAACTTCTTGAAAATAAGATTTCTTTCACATAACAGTACCTAAGGTAGATGTCATAATTTTCGACGACAGGAGACGACAGGATGACGACAGGATGACCCCTCGTCAGGAGAGGTGAGAATATGATCGCCTCCTGCTTGGCTGCTTGCCTCCTCAATTTTTCCCATACATTTTGACGTCGATAAGAATATCCTAATATTCTTATCTACGTCAAAATGTATGGGAAAAATTGACAAAATGTAGTGAGAACCGCTTGTCGCGGTGCGCATCGAAAGCTGAGGTACCCCCGCCTACATAGCACGGACTACTACCACCACCGTCAGATAGGCAGGGCCCGCCATACAGATGGGAAATTTCCGGGACGGACTGTGATAGTTGATGACTTTGTCCGGATTATAGTTCTTCACACTAAGGCGATCGACGGAACTCAGGGGTTATATGTGGGTATTCCTCATCCCTCCGATGAGAGGAGCCCCACATAATCTACCACTTTCCCGCAGAGTAGGTATGCAATTCCTTGCATTTTTTCCCCGAAAAAAAAGTGTCATAATTTTTCTATGGACAAATTGCATAAACTTTACACATTTGTGATGATTTCCTGGTATTTTTAACATCTTAACTTTGTATGAAATTAAGAAAGAAAGTTAAATAAAGAAAGAAAATATTTTATTTGGCCCAACATATATTATAACAGTGTACAGTTTACAATACGTCTTGCACATTTGTGGACCAAAATGGCATCCGCTCAGCATTGTGTCCTGCTCTGAGGTAGACCCCAGAACAGGACGCTGTTATTCAGCGGACATTTACATTTAGACTGATTGCCAAAATTTTAAATCAGGTGAAACCACTTTTGACTGATTTTTGCAGTCAAAAGTGGTTTAGATAAACGCCCTTGGTCTACCTGATAATCATCTTGGTGATTATGAGATTTATTTCATTCACATATTTAATTTTGTAATGCGCCGATTATAATCGGCATATTTTGCCGAATAGTCGTCACTAGTCGGAAGACTACAAATGATGCCGAATAGTCGGCTTTCCAGACTAGTCGGCGACTAGTCGGCCCATCTCTAATAATCATTAATTTGATTAACTTGATTAACTTCTTCAATGTTCTATCGAAAACAATGTTAAAACATTGAATTCTAATATTAGATGTTTGGTTTTAGGCTACAATTCTATGACAGGTCATACCTAGATAAATATAAGGTAACCTAGACTGCCCCCCGCCCCCTTCCCTCGCTGAAACTTCCGGTGCAGTCTTCCGACCTCCCGTAGGAGGATATTATCAGTCCACTTCCCCTACCGTTCCAGCACTTACTTGCAACCCCACACTCGCACCACCTGCCCCCCACCCCTAGCCTCCCCTGAAACTTCTAGTACGAAGTCTCCTGCACCTCCCCAACACGCAAAA